CTTCGTCGGCAAACTGAACTTGACGAAGTGAGGAGCTCTCCCCGACCCCCACCAGCACGTGGAGGCGAAACGCCAGGGCATCATCAACACGGCCACGCATCCGGATACGTGGAGAGCAACCGCGCGAACGCACGCAAGTAGTAACGCCCAGCCATATCAGTGTGACTTCTGGCTACAGACATCTAACACCATCACCACAACAACAACCGCCACGGCGCTTGTGTCAGGCTATGTGCACGTTATGGCACCTGGGTCTGTTCCGTGACCTCCTGCCAGCAGACGTTCGACACTTCACGTGGCCTTAACGTGCACATTTAACACACACGCGTGCGCAACATTTATTAAATAAAGTAACTTAAAGCACAATGTCTTTGGTTTTCTAGAAACTTTGTGAAAGTCACTGCCTGTACTTGGGGGGGGGGGGGGCTGTCTGTGAGCCAGCAAATCCTGAAAACAATTCATGCCCCCCCCCCCCCCCCCCCCTTTAGCCGGACTCGTAAAATAACAAACCAGCTTATAAAGTTAGCAAACACGAAAACAGAGTGTACAGGCTATAATACAAACATGTAAAAATCAAGGTGTTACTGTGGACATTGTAGCAGATGTTAATACGCTATGATCAATCCAGCAGTGGATCTATCATGGATGATGATGATGATTGTGGAAGATTTTGTTTAGGCTGCAAGGCAACATGGGAAGAACCTGTACAATTCGTGACGTCGGAAAGATTACCAATGGGAAATGGCCAAACACCCCAATGTAGCGGGGACCCAACGTGAAAGAGGAGTCGCTAAGACCGTTGAAAGTACGGTGCGCGTGCAGAATGCACTCGATCTGGTGATTGACGCACGGAATTTAGCATCACAGCTTCCTACACACATGTGCACGCCCCAGAACAATTCATACACGCGGCATTCGTAAAGGCATCGCCCATTATTCAAGAATTACAATTCGCAGTTTGAACTGGGGTCTCTCCCAGCCTAGGATACGTACTTTTGGTAATCTATGAACTTTGGAATCCTGTTCTTGAGGTCTTTATATGCGGGGTCTTTGGCCCTTTCTTTGTTTAAAAAAAGTGTTAAATATTATACCGCGCCTTGATTGTGTGAATGGCGCTCTATAAAATGTAATTGATAAGAGAACCACAATGACAAATTCAATAATTACAGCTTAAATACAAATCGCCTGTCATAAAATCACAAGGCGCTTTTGTATACATGGCTGACAGCAGGGGTGGGGGAGGGGGGGGCTTTGGGTAATAAGTGGCCGGAGTCTTCTCGAAGAACCCAGCTATAGGGGCCTCAACAGACTGTTGGGGTATGGTACTGCTGGCAGGCACCTATTCAGGCTGGCACGGCGAACAAAATTGGGCGGGTAGCCAGGATCATTTTCCCGGTCGCCTCTGTCTTCCCAGTGCTAAAGTCACGTGCTGCCATTGAAGATCGCCCGAGATATTTTTTTATTTGGAGGGGGGGGGGGGGTTGGGAAGACACATAGCGCCAACATTTCGTCGGCACAGTTTTAAAGTGCCGTCGCCCCATTTACACGAAGAGTAATAATCGTAGCCTTTGTACGGCAACGGTGGACCGATCGTGGCCGATTGGGAACGACAGGACGTCCAATTATAATGTCTGTAAAATAATGGGCAGTTCCTCTGTTGACACCACGTATTTTTCAGAAGTAATAAAAACCAGAAAAAGACCAACCTGGGTAGCCGACATTGTTCATTCATTCATTCGCTCATTCACTCGCTACTTTTTGTTCCCACCCATTGCTTTGCGAAGGACGCACACGCGCAAAGGAGGCGCCATCCCGTTTACAAACATTGCCCAGCCCTATTGCTTATTAGTCTATCGAGTGCAAGTGCTGTTAGCGAGCACCTATTAAGGCCATCATGGCAAACAGCGGGAGGGGGTAGGTAGAGGGGTGGGTGGGGGCATTATTAATGCGTGGTTATCCACAAAGGTTCCCTGCCCGTTCCAAATCCAGGCTTCAAGAACATTCGGCTGTATCTTTTGTCGATGACCGACTGCCTCCGTCGCTCTGCGAAATAAATATGCCCACTGTTTCTGCACATTGTGTCTTTAGATGCTGTCTCACCCCCCCTCCCCCCTAATTAGACGATATATACAGTAAATCCACATTGTATTGTAATGACTGACAAACATAGAGACCCATAGACTCGCAGAGGGACCGAATGACTCCTACAGAGACCCACAGACTCACAGAGAGCCAATGACTTGCATAGAAACCAATATATTCCTAACTTTAGAAAATAAATACGGCCCACTGTGTCTCTGTGGTCGCGAGTTGACCATCGCATTTTTATTTGTTTTTTTTTACGCTAAATAACTCCACGGTGAATTGTATAAGCCTGAGGACATTGCACAACACACGTTGCTGGTTCTTCTCTCACAGTTCCTTGGCAGCCCAAACACCACCCAACAGCGTGGCCGCCGCCTAACCCCCCCCCCCCCTGCGCGACAACTCGAACGTTCGCCCCAAGCCACCCAAAACCAACGGGGGACTTCGCCGAAACCCCACGGACCGTTTTCACTCTCGGACGCGAAGAAAAGTTGGGCCTTGATAGTGGCCGGAAGGGGGCAAACAGCACGCACGAACAAGTTGCTATTACGAGGCCGCTGCAGAAGCAATGTGGTGGGCAGCAGAGGGCAGGTGCATTGCTGTACTGCACTTCTACGCTTCCGCATCGTCGCTCCTCCCCGCCATCAACCCGCATCGACCAGCACGGTTGAACTTTGGTAAAATAATCGACACCAAAGACAAAGATCCCCCCCCCCCCCCCATAGCCTTAACAGACTGTTGGGGAAGGTGCTGTTGGCGAGCACCTGTGAAGGCCGGCACAGCACACGAGGGGGTGGGTGGCCGACACCACGCCCGGCCGCCTTTGTCTCCACCTAGCGGCGATGTTTACACACCATGGCACCAGGTACTCATTTGAGGCTCAGCCGACCTAGGGGAGGCCCAGGACCGATTCAGATAATCGTCACTGGCGTCGGCCGTGAGTGGGAATCGGAACCCGGCTCGCCGGGTTCGTAGCGCAGCGCCCGAGCCGCTGCTCTTCCGCTCCACACACACGCACAAGGCCTCATCCAGCAGTGGATTGACTAACGGGGGGCTGAACTAACCAGGCGGGGGATGGTTTAACAAGCGAACCCCACTGTTAATTCCCTTGCGCGCTCGACGCGTGCGACGCGCGTGGGAGCGTTGTGCGCGCTGCGGGAAACCGCGCGTTGAAGACTGCCCTTGACAACATACACAGCCTTGAGAAATATATATATGATGTTTAAAACAACAAATACGACAGCTTTGCATAGCAGACTTAGACCTTCCCGTGGTCTAGCTTTGGCTGCATTAAGCAGCATCTCCTTGCAGCCTCAACGCAAAATCGTCATTACCCCTCTCACACAGCCAACACCCGGTTTAACAGTGTGCATATGTTAGTAGTAGTATTATTATTATCATTAACGCTCGTTAAGAAACAAAAATATTACAATTCACACACCACGCCGCCGCTGCTGGTCTTTCCAAACCAACACGGCGAAGCGAAGAGGGATATATATATTTGACTTTACATACGATAATTATAATATAGAATTATTTAATACAAATTATATTACTGTTTTTGTTTTCTCTGTTAACAAAAACAAACAACCCCCCCCCCCACACCCTCACCCCCCGCTGCAGCAGTAGACAAAAAACAAACTGATGACCGTGTAGAGAAGTTGGCACTTCGGTTTAAGATTGCTGCTCGCTCTAGCGGGGCGACCCCGTTGTGTGCAGTGGCATCGCTGAGCCGGCATGGACGGGACCTGGTACAGAGGAACAACGGCGACCCTCCTCCACCCCCCCCCCCCTGTGACCCATCAGAGCCACCGCCTGCACACGGGACTGCTACGCCGCTGCCCCACAGCCTCACATCGAACCCCAACACGCAAGAGCGAACAGAGATGCGTTTCCGATTTGCGACGTGTTTTCAGGTTGTGCCCGCGCGTTGTTTCGCCACGACGTACGAACGCTTCACTTGCCGCTGGGAGACGTCCTTCAGGGCCGTGCAGCGAAACGTCGGACATCGTGCCCGACAACAGCGCGGGTACGACACGAAAGCACGCCGCAGGTACAGACCGGACAGCTGCGCGACGGTGAAAACGCACGCGGTAGATTCGGCAAAGGGTCTCTCCCCGCCCCCCCCACCCCCCGCCCGCCCAGCCACCACTTTGCCCGTTGCGAGTTGTGAAACAATCAGTCGTCAACCTGAGACGCGAGTCAATCGGTGAACGGCCTCGGAAGCGCACCAAAAATTCAGAAAACGGTCCCGAGCCGAGAACCGATCGACGGCAGCGGGGCCCGAGCCCCGAGCCGGCGCTTGCTGGGAATGGGTCGGCTGCGGCGCGAACGTGGAGCGGTGTTGAAAGCTTCGCTCCGGCGACCCGTCTTCTGGTGGGCATTGAAACACGAGTCCCCCCCCCCACCCCTTCGCCCCGACGAGGTCGGATTATTTCCCTCGAAAGTCTTCCGCGAAAACGCCGGGACTGAAAGAATTGGGGCGGGCGGCAACCCGTTGTGATTTGCGTGCGCGTGCAGAGACGCTTCCCAGCTGCGACCACGGATTCGAACGTCACAAACACAAATGTATATATCGCCTCTAAATATAATTCCTCCCAGGCTTACGACGTGCTTCTCATTTCCTCGACGTGGTTAAAACATTTTTTTTTCTTTGCTCATCAAAAGTTGCTACAACCCACTACTAACGCGTGCATTCTCAGCGAACGTCAGCTCACAAAGCCACGTCGAGGAGGCGCGTGTCGAGTGCCCCACAATGCACTACTCAAGCAGCTTTTGGCCGGGAGGCACAGCGAGACGCTTCCGCGAGAAAGAATCGTTTCAGTCTCTTCTCATTTTCCGCCACCGTCCTTGCCCTGCAACTATAAAAGCGTTGTTGGCATTGTTTTTTGCACGCCGAAAGTTTGTTTGCGGTACGTTTTCTGTCGTTGTTTGTCGTTCCTCTTCCCCCCCCCCACTTCTCCCAAGGGTAGGAAGCACAAAATGTGAACGTCTTGGTGGTTGTGGCGGGGGGGGGGGGGGTTCCAGTCTCTGCAGGCCTTTTTATTTTTCTTTGCTCAGTGAAGTCGACAGTGATATCACACTCGCACGCACGCGCAAGGGCAGCCCCCTTAAAACAAAAGTAATTGAAAGTCAACCGCTCGGCTTTCCTGTTACACCCCACACACACACACCCCCATTCACCTACACAAGCTTCAGTTCAACACCGCCAGTGAAACACCACAGTATATACAAACAGGTACTACCTGTAAAGCTGAGTCGACCCAAGGGTCGGTTTACAGCAATCACCACTGATGCGGTGATTGCTGTAAACCAGATTTGTTGAAAGCAGGTCACGCGGTTCTGTTTCCGCGATCGCAAACTAACTAGTCCCTCGCCCCACCACCCCCGCCCCCCCTCCCCCCACGGCAGACGAATTGGCGGCAGAAGATTCCTGAGAGATGCCATTGCCGACCTAACATTCACCCACAAGCACCCTTGCTCAAGGTTTATTCCCATCGCGAACGATGAGCGGGATTTACATCTCATCGCGAGCCGCAACGGCGAGCTCGCCGTCTGCAGCCCGCACCGAGGGACGCGCCGGACTTCGAGCGCGGCCGCAGTTTGCGCGACCGCGGTCGGAAGGCACCGGTTTTGTAAGTCGACAATTTGGGGAAGCGTCTTCACCCTCGTGTGCCAATGGCAAAGCACGAAAAGTGTTGCAATTCCTGGCGCTCATTTCAATCGCCGAGCCGCCCGCGTGGATATCGAATGCGACGGGAGATGGTTCAAAACTGCTCCTGAATCCCTGCACTGCACCGGACCCAGAGCAACGCTCGGATTGTATGCGGGAGCCTCAAGAGCCATTTGTTTTTCGGCTTGCGCACCGCCCACCCCCCCCCCGCCCACAGTAAGATGTCTTAAAATTCGCGTCTCGTATCATCGTCGTCGTGGTCATCTCAATTGCAGTTTTTTCTTCAAAACGAATAATTTTGGATCAAAACGTTGAGGTTCCTCCCCCCCCCTCCCCCCCGTTAGGCTCGAAAATAGCGACCGTGCGTTGTGACGACGCATCGCCGGTTCCTGCTGCTGGATTCGGGCCGAGTTAACCTCCTGTACACAAACTCCCCGCACGCGCGTCTATGTACAGGCCGCACTGCGCACGGGCGCTTCGCAGAAAGAGAGAGAAATATCTTGCCGTTCCCGAATTCGGCCAGTAGCACACGCACCACCGCAACCACCGTAACACCGCGTGCGTCCGATTGACGATAAAATAATAATTATTCACAACGGTAAAACAACACAAAGCCAATCACCACGTCGCTATCGTCCAATCACAGTGTGGCCCCGGCCCCCGTACGAAACTGGGCTGCGAGATCGTCGCTCCTTCCTGGCCAACGATGAAATTCAGCTGCTGCCGACAGCGTCGGCGTCGGGGCGAGGCGACGACTTGGAGGCCGCGGCGGCCGCCTTCCCCGCCCCATCGCAACGATCTTCACCCACGTCGCCGCCATCGCCGCCGACGACTTTTCCGCCACCGGCACCACCACCACCTCCTCCCGCTCCTCTCTCATCTCGACCTCTCCCCCTCTTTCCTGCTAATCCCCCGGCGCCGGCTTTGCCGCTTGTACCATAGTCCCGCACACGTCGTCCTCCACCTCCGCCGCCATCGCCATCGCCGTGCCTCCGTCTGCAGTGGCGCTGGAGGTTGAATTTGGTTGCGAAGGTGGACAGGCAGCGGCCGCAGCTGAAGGGACGCCCGGCCGAGCGCGTGGAATGCCTGCGCCCACGCCTGCCGCCCCCGCCACCTTGCTGCTGCTGCTGCTGCTGACGATGGTCGCGACCGCCGAAGCCGTGACGTCGCGCCGGGCGGCCCCGTCGGCCCGGCCGCTTTTGCGGCGCGACTTTTTCCGCGACGTCTTCCTTCCTGTCTCCGTCATCGTCACCATCGCCAGCGTCTTCTTCTTCCTCCTCCTCCTCCTCATCTTCCTCCTCCTCGTCATCATCGTCCCCATCCTCATCTTCACCGTTGTCCCCCGCCACTTCATCGTCGTTGTCGCAGCCAACGGAGGCGTCGACGCATCCGTTGACGCCGATGCCACCGTCGTCGCCGGAGCCGGGACCCTGCGGCGCCGTGGCCAACGTCTCCGCCGTTACCGCGGCGGAGACGTTCCTCGCCGCTGTCGCGCCGCTGACGTCACCGTCGCTCGTGCCGCTAGCGGTGGACCCCCTCCGCGGCTCCGCCTGCTTCATCGTACCTTCAAGCCGTGCGGGGCGAGCCGCGCTGCCAGTGTCCGATTCCTCACCGGCCGAGTCGACGCCCGATTCTACCTCGTCGACTTCCTGGCCCGCTGCGCCTCCCACACCCGCACCGTCTCCCGCGCGTGGAACGGCGGCGGCGGCAGCAGCCTCAACAGCTGCACCATCCTCTGCACCTGCTGCTGCTGCTGCTTTGACACCGGCTGAAACAGCGCCTGCAGCTACGTCTATAACCAATGCACCTTCTCCGCCGGCCGCAGCGCCGTCGTCCGCACCCGAGTCATCGTCCGCAGCGGCTTTGTCGTCACCGCCGCGTGAGTCCCCATCTCCCGCCGTCGCCGAAACGCTTCCCGAGCCGTCACCCCCGCCGATCGCTTCACCCGATCGGCCGTCGTCGGCCGCGGTGACAACGCCGGCGGCCGCACCATCGCCTTCGTCGATAACCGTGTCTTCATCTCTGGTCGCCGCGGCCTTGCCGTCTCGCTCCGTGGTTTCCACTTTCAGGACTTTCGGGTCGGCGTCACCGCCGCCGCCGCCGCCGCCGCCGCCTTCTTCGATGTTGGCAACCGGTGACCGAACGCCAATTGCGGCATCGTCGCCAATCGCATCGTCGCCATCCGCCGCAGCTTCGGCTGCTTTCTCATCTTCCCTTTGGGGTTCTACAACCGCGTCCGTGGTTTCAGAAACTCCTTCTCCTCCTCCGTCACCGCCGCCGCCGCCGCGGTTTCCTCGAGCCGCACGGAGCGCCGACGGAGACAAGTGCAGCCGCTTCGCGGGGGGGGGCTCTCCGCCGCCGCTCCGGCGAGGCTTGCCGGCGCTCCCCCGTCGCCGCGCCAGCGAGTTCGGGGGGCGGCCCCTGCCGCTGCGTCCCGGCCGCGGCGTCTCGTCGACCGCGACCGCCATCGCCGCCGCCGCCGCCGCTTTCGCGTCGATCTCGGTGCCTCCCGGTAGCGACACCGAGGCCCCGTCCACGTCGACGGCGATTCTGGCGGAGACGGCCGCGGCCGCGGCCGCCGCGGCCGCCGCGAGCCGCGCCGCCGCGCCGCCCCCCCTACCCAGAAGCGGCGCGCCGTGCTTCTGCCGCTGGTGCCGGTTGCAGTTGGACTTGGTGGTGAACTTGGCGCCGCAGTCGCCGCACACGAAGGGCTTTTGACCTGCGACGGGGTCAGGGGAGAGACGACAGAGCCGAGTGAGAACGAGGGTCCAGTGGTTCGAGCGGCGGCCCGGGTGCTGAGACCGGCACTGCTGACAACTTACGGGCCTTGAATGAAGGCTCCGACCGACCGTGATTTAACTGCGTTCTAAAGCGTAGCGGGTTTATGGTCTCAGCCTGGTCACCAATAACTGTGCAAACCACCTCCCACCACCGCCCGCCCCCCCCCCCCAATCCATTTAAATTCCAGCTCTGAGAATGTAAAACATCGGTGTGGTTGTCATGTAAACGAACGGTACTATATTCAGAAGGGCTGATCACTTCAAGTAGTCCTGTGACATCCGCTGTGGATTTGGGAAGAAAAATGCAACAAAAACAACATGTACACGATAATCGGGCCTCGGTGGCCGCCCTCGCTCCCGAAAGCGGAGACAAAGTCCACGTTCGGACGCTGCGCTTGCTTGGGGGGGTTCAGAGTTCGCGAGCGCTGTCCCCCGGTTTAACGGCAACGTGCGGTGACGTTGGCACAGGGGGCCGTCCACGGAGCGCCACGGTGCGACGCCAGGGGCACGTTTGGCACGGCGCTGGCACACGACGACCCGGCCACAAACGGCAGCTCAACGAAGTGGCTTATCAAGTGGAAATTTATCGCAGCCAAATACTCTTAAACGCATGATGTCGATTTTAAATGTGGAGGGAAAAACCGGAGGGCTCGGAGAAGAATCGACGCTACCACGTGGAGAGCACGCCAACTCCAAATATACAGCAGGTGTCACCGTCAGGATCGAACCCACGACCTCCTGTATACCAGGCGAGGTCATTAACATTTCGCCACTGCGACGCATGGGGAGGGCCCGGCACTGTTAGCGAGTGGTGTGGCGAGCACTGCAAATGCACGGATGATAGGGGTGGTGATGGTAATGGTTTTGAGTCTGATAATGGCTGCGATGGTGGTTATAATCATAATGATCATCATATTGACAGTAATGGTTATGACGATGTGGATGCAAGCAGTAGGGCATGATAACGATATTGACCAGGATGATTATTATGATGATGATGATGGTAGTGATGGTGACGATGTTAATTACAATTGGCGATGATGGTAATGATGCAAGCGGTACAGATGATAATACAATGGTGGTTATGACAGCGGTTGTTACGGTGGTGATGACAACAGCGGTACGGATCATTTAACAATTACGATTGTCACGACAACGACAGCGGTCAGGGTGACGACAGCAGCACGACGATGGAAGCCGACGGTTGCGATGATGTGGAACGATGTTCGATGACGAGCACGTGCCGCGGCCCCCCCCTCCCCACCACCCCCCCCCCCCCCCACCCCCCGACCTGTGTGCGTGAACGTGTGCCGCCGCAGGGCGCTGGTCTTGGTGAAGGTGCGGGGACACTCGGGGCAGCGCAGCTTCCCTTCCGCTCCCGTTCCCCCCGCCGAATCCTCCTCCTCCTCCTCCTCGTCGTCGTCGTCGACGACGTCCTCGCCCGCCAAGGAATCCTCCCTCTCGCTGCCGGCTGGGAAATCGGCGGCGCCACCGCCGCCGCCGCAATCGCCGCAATCGCCGCCGTCTTCGGACGGGCGCCCGCCCGGGGGTGTATCGAGGACGGCGGAGGACTTTCTGCGATTGTTTTTCCGCTGGCGCTTGGCGATCGGTGGCGGGAAATCGGAAGCGGCGGCCGTGACTGCGGCCGCGATCGGGCCTGCGATCGGAGGCGAAGATGGCAGCCGCCAGACGTCGCTGCCGCGGTCGACGGCGGGCTCCGCCGATTGCCGTCTGTCCGACGAGTCGCCGCCGCTCCTCGCGGAGGGAAACGCGTCCGGACTTGCCGAGCGGCGCTCCGAGCTGAACGACGGCACGGGAAGGTCACGGGGACGAATGGAGATACGCACAATTATAGCGATGTGCAGATTATAATTATAGCGATGTGCAAACCTTGGCGACTTGAGTTTGATTCCCGTCCACCGGATAATAATATCAAGGCGGCGAGCGTTGTCCGCAACCAGCGCTGACGACTTTATCGAGCTATCACTTGTGGCCAGGTCGCTTCTGAAAAATAAGTTAATGCCTCATTGGGCTTTGCCTGGTTTAGTTGTATCTGTAGTTGTATCTGTAGTTGTATCTGTAAGTGTTTGGGCGGTTTGTACTTTGCACTACCAACGTGTTTTTGCATTGTTTGTTATTGTAACGTTCTGAACCCGCACCTACTGGACCTCTGTGAAGAAGAGCTTCAGAGCTCATCGGATTCCTCCAGTAAAAATACAGATTCTGATTCTGCTGTTGGAACAACTTCCCCCATTCACTCAAACGTCGAGTTGATTTTGTGTAACCAGCTGACAACTTTGAAAATGAGACAAGCGAGAGTCGCTTCTGCAAGTGCAATCCCGGGGCTATTGGAATGCACAAATACAAATTAAGGCGAGAGTTGGGAGCGAGAGTTCGGACTGCGGCCCGGCGTCACAAGTAAACGTCTCGGACAGCGACCCCTCCAGTCGAACCTCCGCGCTTTCAACCTTCCACGCAGCCAACGGTCGACCACCGACTGAATCGGAACCGGGCCACGTGGCCGATGCGGCCACCCGATGCGCCAAGTGGCGCGTCGAGAGATTCGGCGGCCTGCGAGCGGTGCGGCCACGATTCCCAAACCACCGACCGCCACATCGTAAACATTCCGCCGCTGCCGCTGCCTTCACTCCTTTTAAAGAGGAACGGACGAGATACGCTCAGCTTGTGAACACACAATTGAGTGGAGAACAACATCTAAAATTACACCTTTGATCGGCTGTTATTAACCCATATGAAAGAAGAAGTCTGCCACGTGTGTGTGTGTGTGTGTGAGATCACCGATGTTGAGTAAATTTGTGGGTAATTTATTTCAGATTTGGCAAATGCGGAGCAAGGACGCTGGGCGCACACAACGGGCAACTCCAGAGAACGCCGACAGGGGGACCTTTAACATCCGCTGGTGAAGCGACCGTAAAAATAAACGATTCGTTAAACCCGCACACCACCCGACACAGCACATGTAGTGAGGTTTGTCACGTAAACAAAACGCATGCCAATTCGTTACTAATTCAGCGCACACCGGTTGTGTGTTGGAGAGTAAACTCGGATTTTAGATGTTGTGGGTTTCACTCTCCAACACACCGGTGTGCTGAACCAGTAACGAATTTGCACGTTTTGCTTACGTGAAAAACCTTACTCATTGGACTGTGTCGGGTGGTGGCGGGTGTCACGACACATTTATATTTACCCGGTGCGTTGGAGAGTAAACCAATCACCACCACATTTACAATTCGAGTACCGTGTCGTTTCGCACGGCAATTAACAACCAGTCTCGTCAGGTGACAGCCAGAATTGCGAACTTCCGCAACAATCGGTAACCGCTCCCACCATCAGGCAATGTCACCGCCCATGACGCTGTGTGTGTGTGTGTCTGTGTGTGCCTGTGTGTGTGTCTGTGTGTGTGTATGTGTGTGTGTCTGTGTGTGCGCGTGTGGGGAGCGGTAGTGTAGCAGTTAGCGCACTGCACTATGAACCCGACGACACGGGTTTCTCATTCCCGCTCACGGCCAACACCAGTGACGATTATCTTAACCGGTCCTGGGCCTCCCCTAGGTCGACTCAGCCTCAAAAGAGTACCTGGGAAGACAAAGGCGGCCGAGCGTGGTGCTGGCCACCCACCCCCTCGTGTGCCGTGCCGACATTCATAGGTGCACTTGCCCCAACAGTCTGTTCAGGCCCACACGGGGGGATCTTTTTTTTTCTTTGTGTGCGTGTGTAAGCCTTCATCCAGCAGCGGATTAACCCAAGTTGCTGCACATAATAACAGCGACGGCTTCAGTGGCCGCCCCGCGTGTACGAATGACAACCTCCCCCCCCATCCCCCCATTCCGTTGGGACTGGACGAATTTAACCTCGCCTCGGCAATTCTCAGTCCGAAAAACACAAACAGAACCTTTGAAATGTGACGTCCTGTTCAGGGTCGCCCCCCACCCCACCCCGCACGGTGGTTATTTAATTCAAATGTCAACATTTAGAACTCGCGTTCACAAAGAGCGTGGAACAGTGGACGCCTCGAAACGACTTATTTTCCATGATAAGAGTCTTTTTTGGGTTACATCGCGTATATACAAATGTGCCGTTAAACACGGCCAACATCCGACACAGCCAATGAGTAAGGTTTGTCACGTAAACAAAACGTGCAAATTCGTTACTAGCACTGAGCACACCGGGTGTGTTGCAGAGTAAACCCACAACATCTACTATTCGAGTTTACTCTCCAACACACAACCGGTGTGTGCGGAACTATTCACGAATTGGCACGTTTTGTTTTCGTGACAAACCTTACCAATTGGCCGGGTGGTGGCGGGTTTGAACGACACATTTATATTAATGCGCTAGAACCAGACAAAAAAAAAAACCCCTCTTACGGATGATATTGGTCGCGAAAGCCTACAGGTTAAATAAAACGTATTTAATAAAACATTTCCCCACTATTCTCCCCTAGCCCCAAATTCCCGGTACCTTTTACCCGTTCCTACATCCTTGCTCAACTCAAAATTTGCGCTGGTTCTCTCATCCGCTGGACTACCTACCGTGTGTTCAGTCGCCGGCTTTGGATCATCCTCCCCTTCGTATCTTTCCACCACCTAGCGATCTCATTTGCCGGCTCATTCGATAAATTTTTTGCGTATTTAAAAACCCGTCATGAAAAACCAAAACCCCGCGAAATACCACAGCCGGCGATAAAATAAATAAAATTAAACTTACACTTGCGCGGGCACCTCCACGACGGAGGATGCCTCTGCGTCCCGCAAGGGTCCACTCGACGCCGCCGCCGCCGCCGCCGCCGCCGCCGCCTTCGCCACCGCCACCGGGGGCACCATCCCCCTCGTCGCGCCGCCGCGGCAGCCGATGAAAAGCCGCGAGAGTTCCGCCAGCGCCTGCAGCTCCTTCCCTCCGGATTCCTCGCCGCCGCCGACGCCGACGCCGACGCCGACGCCGCCGCAATCGCCGCCGTACCCCAGCGAGCCGGCCGCAAGCGACGCCAGCTGCATCAGCGGGTGGCACGCGGCGTCGCCAAGGCCTCCCTCGGCGGCCGCCGCCCAGGCGCAACGCGAGCCGGCAGCGAACGCCTCCCCGGGGCCCGGCCTCTCCGGCGCGGCCATGCGGCTGTGCTTGGTGGCCAGCTGGGCGAGGCAGTGCGAGGCGTTCTTCCGCGCCAGCTCCTCCTTGCCCGCCGTCGCCACGGCCGATCCGGTCGTTGTTCCGTTCGCTCCGGCGGCGGCCGTCGTGGCGCAGTCCCGCCGCTTCGGCAGCGACAGGTCGATGGGCTCCATGTTGTCGTCGTCGTCGTCGTCGCCGTCGACTTTGATGCCGACGCCGCCGCCGTCCCACGGCGGGCAGTACTCCGTCTTCACCGTCACGGCGGGGATGCTGGCGGAGCGCGCAGGCCGGAACGCCGAACCCGCGGAGAACACCGACAGCCGGGAGTAGCCGGCCGGTAACAGCAGCCCGTTCTTGAGCGAGCGCTGGGCGGCGGAGATGGTAGCCGCGCTGGGCTTGGCGCCGTCCACGAATCGACACCCCCCGTTTTCCACGGCGTAACCACCACCACCACCACCACCACCGCGGCCGCCGTCTGCCACCTCCCCCTCTTCTTCTTCTCCTCCTCCTCCCCTGGTTCCGTTGACGTGCACGCGTTCCATCTTTGGCATAACCACCGGTGCCGCCGTTTTACCCGTGGAGTCGGCAGGAGCCGGCGGTGCCGGCGGCGGGTCGACGTAGGTGACCCAGTGCGACGCGTCGCCCCCGGACGCCGCCACGGCCTCAGCGTGATGGCTCTGCACGTGCCGGTACACGTTGCTGCGCGTCGAGAAGATGTTGCGGCACTGCCGGCACCGGTACGGCTTGTGCCGCCCCCCGAGCCCGGCGCCCCGAGGCCGTCTCCCTCGCACCTTCGCCACCGCCACGGCGAGCTCCCCAACATCGTCGGCCGGCACCCTCCCGGTCGCGCCGACGCCGATGCCGCCCTTGCCGTTCTCCGTCGGCCAGCCAGATTCCGGCGGCCGCCCGTTAGCCGGCAGGATTCGCGAGTCGGGCTCGACGGCGATCTTTGAGCCGCCGCCGCCGCCGACTTGACGGTAAACGCCGGTGCTCAAGAAGCCGTTGGGCAGAGCGCCGGCGACGAGAGGCAGCAGCGGCGCGTCGTCGTCGTCGTCGTCGTCGCCGCCGCCGCCGCCGCCACGCGACACCGCGGGCCGCTCGCGTTTCACCGCGGAGCCGGCGTGAGCCCTGGCCACGGCCGCCCCGAGGACGCCCGGCGAGGCCAGGAGCTCGATCCGGACGTCGATGTCGGGCCGCGCCGTGAGGCCGTGCCGGCGCTTGAGGTGGCGCTCGCAGTTGGCCTTGAGCGTGAACGGGTAGAGGCAGACGCGGCAAGCGAAGGGCCGCTCGCGCCCGTGGCGGTCGCGCAGGTGGCGGAGCAGCGCCGCGCGGTCTGGAGCCGCGTGCCGGCACACGGCGCACTGCGACCCGACGCCGACGACGCCGGCGGACGGCGCCGCCGGTTCCACACGCTGCCCCGTCATCGCCATCATCGCCGCCACCGCCTCCTCCTCGTCCTCCCGCCGCCGCCGTAGCAGCAGCAGCTGCTGGGCCTCCCCGGCGCCGGCGGCGGTGTCGCCGTTACCGCCGTTGCCGCCGTTACCGCCTCTCTCCTCCTGCTTCACCTCGCGCCCCAGGAAGCGTTCGGCGTTCTCGGCCCAGCAGAACGAGTCGGTCGCCTCGAGCACGCGCCGCAGGTTCGGCGATGGCTTGCGCTCCGTCGGGCGGAACGAGCGGGCGGAGGGCTCCGACAGTTCGGCGCCGGCGCCACCGCCGCCGCCGCCGCAGCCGGCGCCGTCCAACGCCGACACGACACCCTGCTCCAGCACCCTGCGCAGTATCTCCTGCGCCCGGCGGCCGTCCGCCCTGCAGGGCGAGCGCGCGTCCTCCCGGTGCGGCAGCAGGCTGCCCGACGACGGAAGAGGCGGAAGCGGCGGCAGCGGCGGCAGCACGACCGGCTCGCCGGCGCCCGTCATGGCCGCGGCCACGGGCCGGATGAGCCGCAGGGGCGGCGGCGGAGGCGGCGCCGCCGCCGCCGCCGGGTACTGCCGCCGCTGCTGCTGCTGCTGCGCCGACGACGCTGCCGAGGACGCGTCGTCCTCGGCAGCGTCTGTCGGGGAGGCGCAGCGAGCGGCCAGCGGCGGCGGTGGAGGGGGCGGCTTCGGCTTCAGCTGCGGCATCGGGCGCAGGCGGGCCGCCGGGCGCGGCGCCAGCGACGGCGGGAGCTCGCCCTCCTCCCCCCTCGGCGGGGCGACCTTGGAGAGCGGCGGCGGAGGCGGCGTCAGGAACGGGGCGGCCCCCGAGGGCGACGGCTCGGCCGTCCCCACGTCCACCAGCGCGCGATCGCACATCTCCGTCAGCTTGGACACGGGGTTGGTTTCGCCGGTTCCGTCGCCGCCGCCGCCGCCGCCGCGCCCGTGCTGCTGCTGCTGCTGCTGCTGGCGCTGCTGCTGCCGCCCGCCGCCGCCGGCGCAGCCCAGCTCGGAGGCCGACTCGCACACGATGGGCACCACCACCATGCTGCTGTCGGGACGGATGATGAAGCCCTTCTGCGGGGAAGGGTCCCCGTCGTCGGGACACGGCGACGGCTGCCCCGGCCTCGGGCGCCGGGCGGCGCCGCCGGCGGCGCGGACGGTGAACTCGGCGCCGCGCAGCACGACGCCGCCTTGCACCAGCGAGACGGCGCCGTCCCCCTCCACTTGCGCGTGCCGCACCGCCGCCTGCTGCTGCTGCTGCTGCTGGTGCTGGTGCTGATGGTGCTGTTGCACCAGCTGCAGCTGTTGCATCACCGTGCCCTGGCGCGAGCGGCCAGGGTTGGGCCGCTTGGGCCTCTGCTCGGGCGACGCGACGGGGCACAGCGACAGGAGGCCCAGGAAGACGGCGGCGCCCGACGGAGCCTCGCTGGGCGACGGGGACTGCGGCTGCGCCGGCGGAGGGGAGAGGCGAGCTGACGGCTTCTCGCGCTTCGCCGGTGTCGCCGCGCCGTCGTTTTCCAGAGAAGGCCGCAGGTTCAGCGACGCCAGGAACGAGAGCTGCTCGACGGGGCCGTCATCCACGTCCACCGTGGCAGGGGCCGCAGGCGCGGGGGCGGGGGGGAGCCGCTTTGCCGAGCGCTTGCTGGGCGTGCGCGCCGACGCCGGGTGGCGGATGTCGCGGTGGAGGGAGAGCGCCGCCATGACCGGGAAGGCCTTGCCGCAGTCGTCGCACACGAAGCGGTGGTAGCGGCTGATGCAGCGTCGCACGTTCCGCTCGCACCACACCTGCACCGCGGGGAGGAGGAGGAGGAGGTGGGAGATGGAGTGGGCTCAGCGCGGGACTCGCGTGTGGGGGGGGGTTGGGGGGGGGTTGAGGGGGGGGGGGCGCCTTCCGCGGTGCGATGGCCAGCACGCTTGACGTGCAATCCAGAAGGTTCACCGATCCGTTCGATTATCCCGGACGCAGCGGTAGAAACGGCGGAGCAAAACTCTGGAACTGTTACGTCATTCAGCGTCGCATCAGCAGAATCGGGCTCACTTGAACCAGCGCTGGCAGACCGCCAGATGTTTATAGGCAAGGATCACCCCCCCACCCCCCTCCTTGTTAGACACGGCTTCTCGTTTGATGCAAAAGCTAAATACACACGCCAACATAAGCATCGTCCCTAAAGAAGAGAGAGTTGTGGTGGGCAGCAGAGGGCAGTGCAGCCAAATCCAAAATCGTTCTGGTACCCCTCTAAGCTCCCACGTGTCTACACTCCCCACATCCCTCACACAACACACACTACACACACTGCACCCACACACACCACACATACTGCACACACACACTTTACGCACTACACACGCTATATATGCACACACACACCACACACACACACTACACACACCCGACACACACACACACTGCACACACCACACACACTACATATGCACACACAACAACCGCCATTCGCCACTAAGTGGCGGTGACGTCACCACGACGCTTGTGCCAGGCCATGTGCACCCTGAGGCCACGTGAAGTGTCGAACGCCCGCTGGCAGGAGGTCACGGGGCAGACCCAGGTGCCACGGGTCGACTGACTGAGATGACTGGCTGATGCACCATCTGTGCCCCCTACTGTGCCAACCTGCTGTGCTTTAGCCACCCGTTGTTGTGAGCGTCGCTCACACACCACACTACATACACACACATGCCACACCCCACACACACACTACACACGCTACACTACACACACACTGCACACACCCCACACACTACACACACTACACACACCACACACACACCACACTACATACACACACATGCCACACCCCACACACCACACTACACACACCACACACACCACACACACACAAATGAAAGGGGCAGCGGTCGAGGAGCGGGTCAACGTAGGTGATAAGGAACGCACCAAGCAACAAAACGTACTCGCGAATAAACAAAAAAATGAATCCAGTTAATGCTCCATTTTTTTCCGGGGACAAATCTGGAGGATGGGGGGAGGGGGGGGTCGGATAAAAACAACTAAAGCAGGGTCAATGCAAAATGCATGTAAATTAGGATTTACAAAGTGTCGCTTGTTTGTTAATCCGCGTTACGTAGAATGAGGGCGGGGGTCAAGATGTTGCACGTCGCCGGAGCGGTTGGCGCAGCGGTTGGCGCGACAGATCCCTTGGCGGCCGACTTGCGGTGCGCTGAACTTCTTTCGCGCTGTACGCAGACAGCCGTGCTAAGCGGAGGTGCGGCGGGGTGGGTGGGTGGGTGGGTGGAGGAGCTAAACGCGCAAAATGAACCCGGCGGCGAACATCTGAACCCGCTCCCGGACCTCACCCTAGGTCGACTCAGCCTCATACGAGTAACCTGGAATTCGTCCCAACAAATCCGTTACTAAAACTACAAGACTTATTATTATTATTATTTTTCCCGCCAGGAAAGGCCCCACTGAGCTATGCGGCCATCACAAGTGACAGCTCAACGTAAGTGGCTCATCATCGCGGGGAAATTTACAGCGGCCGAGTTTGTCTGAACGCGCGACGTTCGTTCGAAACGTGGAGGGAAAAAGCGGAGGACCTGGAGAAAAATCCACGCGACCACGCGGGGAGAGAGAGACAGAGAGAGACGCGTGATAACTCCATAAAGGCAACCACGGGGGGGGGGAGGTCTTTGTCTGATCTGTGTGTCCGCGTACATCCCCGAAATTCTCGCCGAAGAGCGGTTGCCTTCGCTCGAGCACCGACCCGCTGTGCCCCCTGACCAGCGAGGAGCAGCGGGGGTGGGTGGGCCCCCCCGCGACGGGCCTCGCTTTGGCCCTGCCGGGTCCTTCGGTCGACTCCTCCACGCCGGCCGCATTTTAACCCCACCCAGCCCACAAAACGCGACCTGCCCATAGACCGACTGCGGTGAACCCACTTACGCTGCTGCAGGTGGACCGGGATTTACAAAAACTTCCGCCGTTGTTTCAACCGCCACGACCGCACGTTTAAGGTTCGAAATACAGAACAGTTCACGTATTTCTCGAACTGCGGCACGGTTGGAAGAACTTGGGACACGCAGATATAGACAAATACGCACAGACGAGGGACAGGTACATGTACCAATGCAGACACAAATAATACATCGAACGAGCGACAGGGCGAGCGCATGAACGAGCGAGCGAGCGACAGGGCGAGCGAGCCAGCGCGCGAGCACGGGGGTTCCCATGCCTGTGCGATCTTGGGGAACTTGTCGCAGCTGAAGTCGATGAAGCTGAGGTCGCGGAAGCCAACGGGCACGGAGTTCGCGCCCGCCTGCCCGTGTCCCACCGTCGCGTGGATCCCCTCCGCTCCCTCCACCCCGACCGAGAACTGAACTGCGTTGGCCGTGTAGGAGGAGGACGACGACGACGACGAGGACGAGGAGGAGGAGGAGGAGGAGGAGTCGACGCCGTTGGCCGTGCCGTTCTCGTGCTGCCGGCGGGCGCTCGAGTCGTGCCGCAGGAAGCTGCGCGGCGTGCGGACCGACGGCGCGTTGCAGTGGCGGCACCTGCGGGGCGGACGCCGGCACACGGGAGGCACGCGGATGAGACAAAGATCCCCCGTGTAGCCTTCAGCTGTTGGGACAAGTCAGCCAGTTGCACCTCGTAAGGTCGGAAAGGCACACGGAAGGGGGGGGCCAGCCCCACGCACGGCTGCCTTTGTCTCCCCAGTACTGATGTTTGCACACCGTGCCAGGGGAGGTCCAGGAGCGTTTGGGATTTTCGTCACCGGCGTTGGCCGTGAGCGCGAATCGAACACGGGTCAGCGGGTTCGTAGCGCAGTGCGCCAATCACCCGTGCCACCGCTCCCCGTACGCAGATTGGGCAGCGGATGTGCACGTGACACGCACGGCACATTTGGACGCGCGCACTTAAAAAGGTTCATCGATTCCCCCATCGATGTCGTCCACCAGAATGAGACCGCTTGTGTTTGCAGTCGAAACGTCGTGAGAATTTTATTGTGTTATATATAAATTATTATTTTATTGTTTCCCTTCAACGTGACTTTACCCGAAAGAACCAAGAATACGAGACCGTTTCGTTTTAATCAGTGCTGTGTTTTCAAGCACCCCACTGTAGTTCCCAACAAGGCCCACCGATTCACTCGCTCACCCACCCACTCACCACGCTGCAGGTCACAACAGTGCTGATCCAGCTTGGAATTCCCTCCCATTGTATATGTTCCCAAGCTCTGATAACGTTGCTCAAATTCACTATTTAATCTCTAATCTTTTACAATTCTGACAGTGCTGTTTGTTGCTGTCCGTGTTATGCTTTGGCCCTTTGGGGCTGTGCTCATCAATCGCACTAAAATTATATTAATTAAAAGCACTATATATAGATGGGGCATGTAATGTTATCACATTGATACATATCGGCAGATAAATAAACAGCGATGATACAAACAAACACACAAATGCACAGATACGTTCAAAAATCTATACTTTTTAAAAATCAGATTGTAGTGGAGCACAGGCCCATAATGCTAAGGGGCCAGCAACAAACAGCACTCTCAAAGTTACAAAAGCGAAAGCGTGTAAGGCGTTTCTTGAATTGAGCGAGGTTATATCGGCATGGGATAAGCAGATACCAATAAATTACACACACACGCAAGGAACACGCATTTTACACAGGCAGATAGAATGAAACATTTCCCGTGCCTCCGATGAACAGATGCGCTTCTGCAGCCGTCTGGAACGCTCTTCCTTCTGATATCACGAAGCCAATGGAGCTATGCACTTTTAAATCATCTAGATTGAAAATTCATTTATTCAGAACTGGTTGTTGTCCTTAGTTTGTCGTCCTTCACCTGCATCTCCGATTAGCACGGTTGGCTACGTACGGCGCGACAGAAGTTCAACATACACACGTTGACACACGGTCAGACAAACAGCCCAACGCACGGTAACATGGACAGACGAACGCATGGCAACACGGGCAAACGGACGGACGGATGGACAGATCGACACAATGGACAAATGAGACAGCCAAACACATGCACGCTTGGCCCGACGGACGGACGGACAGAGACAGACGAACACACGGCCACGTGAACCCACAGCACCTGAGCTGTGCGGGTGGGGAGTGTGTGGCAAGGTGCGAATCCACTCCGAGCTCACAGACGAACGCCTTGAGGCAGACGGGACAGTGTCTGGAGTCTTCGCCAACTTCCAGGCTCATCTGCACTCGCGCGCACCGCACACAAACACACGCACGCAGAGCGATCGTCTCCCGTGAGCCTTCCCAACCCCACCACCCACCTCCGCCTCCCTTTGTTTAAACGAAGAGGGGGGGAAAAAAATAAAAAAACACTTCGGCCCTGGCGATCCCCACGTGGAAGAACAAGCAGCCCATTCGTCGCAAATGATTATTCACGACGCGATACACGCTCAGAATTGCGCGCGCGTGCGTGTGGAGCGGCAGTGGAGCGGTTAGCGTGCCGCGCCGCGAACCCGAAGACCCGAGTTCGATTCCCGTTCACGGCCAACACCGATGACGGTTATCTGAACCGGTCCTGGGCCTCCCCTAGGTTGTCTCAGCCTCAAATGAGTACCTGGTTGCGGCGTGTCGTAAACTTCGTCACTGGGGACACAAAGGTGGCCGAGCGTGGCGCTGGCCACCCACCCCCCTCGTGTGACATGCCGGCCTTCATAGGTGCTTCTCGCTAACAGCACTTGCTCCGAGAGTCTGTTAAAGGCTAAACTAGTGAGAATTGATAATTTACTGCTCAATAAGAAAATCTTATTCAAACGACGTTGCTGCTGTAATGTTTTTATCCGGCCTGGCGGCTCAGTGGTAGGGGGAGAGGGGGGGGGGGTGACTCAGCACCCCACTTTGGGGGTCCATAAAACCAGCTACTACTTTGTGGGGGGGGGGGGGGTGGGGAAGGACACAGCGGTTACCCAATGGATAAGGGAATCAACTCAAATCATCGACGCACGTGGATGTCCGTGTACTAGAGTAGACTCCCCCCCCCCGCCCTGCAAGACTAGCAGGTGGTGAATGAAGCAGGTTACTGACCCATTCATATGGATTTTATTTAAAAGCGTCATCTTCCCTTTTGTTCAATCGCTCCGGTTCTGCTTTAACAACACGGGGGGGGGGGGGGGTGGTTGGAGTTGGGAAATCAAAAAACTCACTCAACAGCAAGGAATTGGCCAAAGTTTTGAAAACAGGCCCCCCCCCTCGGAGACTCGGCGAGGCCTTTCCCACGTGAACGAAGAGCACGCGTTGTCGATAAAGTCCTGTAAGGCCAGGGGTCTAGTAGCCCGGTGGGTTGGTGCAACAACCAGGGCTCCGAATAACTACGGGGCAGGGGACGCCGAGTTCAAATCTGGGAAAGAGGTTAGTAAATCACGCATTGTTATCATTGTCGGCAACCTCGTCGTCAATATCGCCAGCTGCAACGTCTTCACGGTCCAACGTTATCGGCAGCAGCGGCGGCCACTGGGAGGAAAGCTGCATCATCGTCACGATTGCCAACCACGGCAATATCCTCATCGCCATCAGCAGCAATGGCAGCAGTTTCACCATCAAAACGATCATCAGCAACAACCAGCTGCGTCAGCCATCGTCACCAGAGGCTACACGCTGATTTTCGCCATCAGCATCTTCATCATTAGCCAGTTTCATCATCGGCAGCGGCAGCAGCAGCAGAAACAGTGGCATCACCACAGCCTTAATCCTAATCACCACCACCACCACCACAATCCGATCGAATCAAAACATCCCATCCTTGCGCGATCCACCAACCCCACGTCGACGTCACCCGGCCAAATAAAGGCGTGCGCAGGCAGGCCGTCGGCACACACGCGCGCGCGCGCGTAACAATGCAGCTCAATATCATAAGCAGGTGAGGTGGTTGGTGGGGTTCCGTAAATAATGAATGGCACCTGAAAGGAGCCGGGGCGAGGGTTGGGTTAGGGCGTGGGGGTTGTGGGAGTTGGGAGTTGGAGGAGGAGTAAAGGGGGAGACCAAACACTGGCACCCACCCCCCCCCTTCCTCCTCCTCTGCCGATCAATAATGCACACAGCCACATATACACCTGGTGGGCAAGCAGCAACAAAAACAAAGGCAAAGATACCCCCCACCACCACCAGTGTAGCCTTAACGGACTGTTGGGGCAAGTGCCCGTTAGCGAGGAGCAGCACCTTCCGACTGCCGGCACGGTGGCACGCGAGGGGGTGGCCGCTTCCGAACCGGCCGCCCGGCCGCCTTTGTCTCCCCAGGTACTCATTTAAGGCCGAGTTGCCCTAGGGGCAGGCCCAGACCGGTTCTGACATCGTTCCCCACCGATATCAGCCGTGGCCAGGAGTCGATAGTCAGGTAGCTGCATTTGTAGTGCAGCACGCTGACCACTACGCTCCCTCTCCCCTCTCCCCACCACACACACACGCACGCGCGTGCGCCGTCCCATTACTCCAAACACAGGGTATATTAGGAACAAAAAATCGCAATCACCCTGAACACCTCTATTCGGGAATGGAACCAGGGTCACCGGCAGTGCAGCAGGCAGTGTGCTAACCACCATGCTACCGCTCCCAATGCACACAGTCAGACGCGTGCGTATAGTGAGGGAAAGAAAGTATTTGATCCCCTGCTGATTTTGTACGTTTGCCCACTGACAAAGAGATGATCAGTCTATAATGTTAATGGTAGGTTTATTTGAACAGTGAGAGACAGAATAACAACAACAAAATCCAGAAAAACGCATGTCAAAAATGTTAAACATTGATTTGCATTTTAATGAGGGAAATAAGTATTTGACCCGCTCTCAATCAGAAAGATTTCTGGCTTCCAGGTAACAAGCTGAGATTAGGAGCACACTCTTAAAGGGAGTGCTCCTAATCTCAGCTTGTTGCCTGTATAAAAGACACCTGTCTCCAGAAGCAATCAATCAATCAGATTCCAAACTCTCCACCATGACCAAGACCAAAGAGCTCTCCAAGGATGTCAGGGACAAGATTGTAGACCTACACAAGGCTGGAATGGACTACAAGACCATTGCCAAGCAGCTTGGTGATAAGGTGACAACAGTTGGTGCGATTATTTGCAAATGGAAGAAACACAAAAGAACTGTCAATCTCCCTCGGCCTGGGGCTCCATGCAAGATCTCACCTCGTGGAGTTGCAATGATCATGAGAATGGTGAGGAATCAGCCCAGAACTACACGGGAGGATCTTGTCAATGACCTCAAGGCAGTTGGGACCACAGTCACCAAGAAAACAATTGGTAACACACTACACCGTGAAGGACTGGAATCCTGCCGTGCCCGCAAGGTCCCCCTGCTCAAGAAAGCACATATACATGCCCGTCTGAAGTTTGCCAATGAACATCTGAATGATTCAGAGGAAAACTGGTTGAAAGTGTTGTGGTCAGATGAGACCAAAATGGAGCTCTTTGGCATCAACTCAACTCGCCGTGTCTGGAGGAGGAGGAATGCTGCCTATTACCCCAAGAACACCATCACACCGTCAAACATGGAGGTGGAAACATGCTTTGGGGGTGTTTTTCTGCTAAGGGGACAGGACAATTTCACCGCATCAAAGGGACGATGGACGGGGCCATGTACCGTCAAATCTTGGGTGAGAACCTCCTTCCCTCAGCCAGGGCATTGAAAATGGGTCGTGGATGGGAATTCCAGCATGACAATGACCCAAAACACACGGCCAAGGCAACAAAGGAGTGGCTCAAGAAGAAGCACATTAAGGTCCTGGAGTGGCCTAGCCAGTCTCCAGACCTTAATCCCATAGAAAATCTGTGGAGGGAGCTGAAGGTTCGAGTTGCCAAACGTCAGCTTCGAAACCTTAATGACTTGGAGTGGGATAAAATCCCTCCTGAGATGTGTGCAAACCTGGTGGCCAACTACAAGAAACGTCTGACCTCTGTGATTGCCAACAAGGGTTTTGCCACCAAGCACTAAGTCATGTTTTGCAGAGGGGTCAAATACTTATTTCCCTCATTAAAATGCCAATCAATGTTTAACATTTTTGACATGCGTTTTTTCTGGATTTTGTTGTTGTTATTCTGTCTCTCACTGCTCAAATAAACCTACCATTAAAATTATAGACTGATCATTTCTTTGTCAGTGGGCAAACGTACAAAATCAGCAGGGGATCAAATACTTTTTTCCCTCACTGTACATACACGTGTGCCCTCAAGACACAATGAGACAAACATTCCCCCCCCCACTACACGCACACATCGTGCGTCTGTCTTTGTACGTGAAGCGGTGGTGGAGCGGTGGTGGAGCGGTGGTGGAGCGGTGGTGGAGCGGTGGTGTAGCAGTTGGCGCTACGCTGCGCTCCGAAGCCGGCGACCCGAGTTCGATTCCCGCTCACCGCCAACACTGGTGACGATTATCTGAACCGGCGCTGGGCCTCCCCTAGGTCGACTCAGACTCAAATGAGTACTGGGTGCGATGTGTCGCAAAATTGCAATTGGGGAGACAAAGGCGGCCGGGCGTGGTGCTGGCCACCCACCCCCTCGTGTGCCGTTCCGTCCTTCATTGGTGCTCGCTAACAACACTTCCCCAACAGTCTGGTAAAGGCTATATGGGGGATCCTTGTCTTTGTGTACATGAAACCCGAGTACCTAGAGACAATCCACACACGCACGCGCGCTGGCAACATTGCAAAAACAATCTGCATATCATACACTCGCTCCCCGCTTGCTGTACTACCCTCCCTTCTCACTCAACCTTACTTGGACTTCCTTAAAAGCGCTTCAATTAAAGGAGCACCAATCAAAGAGACGAAGATTCGCCCCGATGCGCGAGCCTACACAAGCGGTTTGCGGGGGGCAAGTGCTGTTGACGAGCGCCGATCTCGCGTCCTCGCATGGCAAACGACTGGGGAAGCGGTGCCGGCCACCATTCCCCCCCTCCAGTCCCGACGATGTTTACACACAAACACCAGGTGCCCATTTCAGGCTAAGCCGACCTAGGGAAAGCCCAGAACCGGTTCGGAGATCGCTGCCCAGCAACCGTCACCCGGGGCCGGGGGACCACGGCACTACACATGCGCACAAAGACAAAGACCCCTTCCACCGTACCTATGGAGGTCTGAGAGGCGACGTATAATGGGGGTGGGTGTGTGGTTAGCACCAGTCAAATGCATGTGCACCCATATGCATGACACAGGTAAACCTCCCCCCCCTCCCCCGGCCTTTCCCACCCTGTGGCCTCGAACAAGCTGTTAGCGAGCACCAAATTAGGGCAGACGCAGAACCACACCCGGCTGCCTTCGTGTTTCCGAATCAAGGTGTTTGCACACCATCAGAGGGGACCATTTCAGGCCGAGTCGATCTAGGGGAGCTCCAGCACTTCACGTTATGTGTGGTTGGGAATAAATCCCCGGCCTTAAGAGGTGCTCGCGAATACCACTTACTTGTAAATGTTGCGGGATTTAGTCTCCAACGCACCGGTCTGCTGTACTAGTAACGGATTGGCACGTTCTGTTGACGTGATAAAAACCTTACTAATTGGCTGTGCCGGGTGGTGGCGGGTTTAACGACACATTGATATTTACGCGATCTCACCCAAAAAAAACCTCTATCATGCATCCCATAGCCATGACCCATCAAAGCGGGAGGGCGGGAGAGGGTTGCTCTTTCGTGCGCATTTCCTCCTTCGGACGTGCCAAGGGTCACGTCCGCTAGGGAGATGGAGTGACGGATTCAGCTCGCGTGTGCGCGGGGGGGGGGGGGGCTTGGAGGGGCCTTCGATGATGGTGATGACGACATCATCATCATCGCTAAGGCCAATCCACTGCTGGATTAACCGCAGCTGATATTAACATCGTCGTCATCGTCCCTGAGACCAATCCACCGCTGGATTGACCGCAGCTGACGATGACGTGAGAAAGACAGTGGGCACTGCAAATCCCCGCGCGCGGCAGGGAGAGCCACAGTCTGAGTCGCAGCTCGGCTCAGGCTCGGCCTCGTGGAGCTCCTGGGGCATGGGGGGGGGGACAACATCGGGCTCCGAGCCAGCTCAAGTGAAGCAGGGCGTGGCGCCGGCTCGCTGGCTGCTAGAGCCGCAGCGTAGCCTTCGAAGAGTCTGAGCCGAGCCACGAGTGAGAACACGGGGGGGGGGGGGGGGGGGGTTGCGGGGGGGAGCAGAGACCCCCCCCCCCCGCCCCGGGGTTCAAGTCCTGGTCAGGCAAAGCGCTGTGCCCCGTGACATCCGACCCCTGTCGCGGTGGGTTGGTGGGGTGCTTGGTGGTGTGGTGGGATGCTTGGTGGTGTGCTTGGGGGGATGCTTGGTGGTGTGGGTGGGGGAGAGGGGTGGTTGGTGGTGTGGTTGGGGGAGAGGGGTGGTTGGTGGTGTGGGTGGGGGAGAGGGGTGGTTGGTGGTGTGGTTGGTGGGATGCTTGGTGGTGTGGGTGGGGGAGAGGGGTGCTTGGTGGGATGCTTGGTGGTGTGGTTGGGGGAGAGGGGTGGTTGGGGGGGCCTCCCGTAGCGCGGTAGCTTCACCCGAAACGAGCGCTCAGATCAGCGCCGCCGCCGCCGCCGCGAACGGGAGAATTCCACGCGGCAGGTCGCCTGCGGTCTGCGCTGGTAGCGCTGGCGGCGGCGCAGGCACGGGGACGGAGCGAGCGGCAGGACAGGCCGAACCGGTCGGGCCGCTGATGCAGTCGACGCGAGACGCGAGAGAAGAGAGAGAGAGAGGGGGAGGGTGGGATGATGTGCGTGGGGTTGGCGGCTTGGGTGGGTGGGGGAGGGGAGGGAAGGGCGCCGCGTGTGTTGAGTCGGCGGATGAGTGAGAGGATGAGTGAGCTTGTGAGCAGAGAGAGAGAGAAGGATCGTGATTTCGTCACCACGTGGAGTGGGAGAGAGAATGCAATAAGTGAGTTTGGGCGAGTTCGTTGTGAGAGCGAGCGAGGGCGCGCGAGTGATTTGCGAGTTAAGTGTGATTTTGTGAGCTCAGTTGGGCGGGTGAGTGAATGAGTGGATGTGCGAGCGAGATCATTCGTAAGCGGGTGAATAAATGAATGAGATGATGGTTTGGTAAGTGCACGAGTGAGCGAGCGAGCGAGCAGGTGAATGAATGAGTGAATCATGGGACCGAGTGTGATTTTGTGAGTCAATGAGAATGTAAATCAAGCAGTCGGCGTGACACTCAGAGTAGGTGATGCACGATAACTCACGGGAGGGGCAGTGGTGTGCAGGGGGGGCCGCCGGCGGGGGGGGGGTGTTGGCAAGAGAGTGTGCAAGGCGGTGAGTGACTTAGCAAGTATACAAATTAGTGAGCGAGCAATTGAACGAGTGAGCAACTAAATGAGTGAGCGAGTGAGCAACTGAATGAGTGAGCGAGTGAGCAACTGAACGAGTGAGCAACTGAACGAGTGGGCGAGCATTAGTGAGCGAGCGTTGGTGAACACGTTAACGAGTGAGCGTGCGAACGAACAAGCGATTGTGCGAGCGAGTCTGCGAGCGAACGAGCGAGCGAGAGAGTGAGAAAGCTATTTTATTTTTAGGAGCGAGCGATCGAGAGGAGCGAGCGAGCGAGAAGGGAGTGGAGGTGGGCGTTGTTTGTCGAACCGATGAAGAGCGATGGCTCACAGATGTAAAAAAAAAACCGTCCAAAGGTTATTTGCAACGGAGCTGCCCCCTCCAGCACAACAAAGCAGCACGCACGCCAAGGTGATGAGACAGTCATCGTTACACGGCCATCAACACGGCAAAGGACAGAAGGCAACGATCGCACGTCGAGTCGGGGTAGACCCTCCGAGCGAGAAAGAGAGAGAGTGCTGCCAACAAACCCCAGACTTCGTGTCACCATCCTAGACAGCAGCTTTTGTCTCGTAAGAAGCCCAGATGAGGCTGATGATGATAGATATGACGATGATGATGGACATGACGATGATGTAGTGACGACAATGATGATATCAATGGTAATGATGCTGCTGATAACCAGGTTAATGCTGCCGATGATGGTGATGCTGCCGATGATGGCGATGATACTGTTGCTGCTGCTGATGATGTTTACGATGGTAATGCTGATGATCGCAACAATACTCTTGCTGACGGTTATGATGAAGATGTTGATGCTGCTGCTGCTGATGGCGACGATACTTTTGTAACGATACTGTTGCTGACGTCGATGATGATAAAGCAGTTGATGATGACCATCATGATGATGATGATGCTGATGCTGCTGCTGCTGTCGATAACGATGCTTGCTGCTGCTGATTTTGCCGACGATGCCGATTTTGCCGGCGATGGCGATGTTGAACAATGATGACCACAACAATACCGCGGCTGATCTTTACGATGGTGCGCGCTGCTGACGACGACGACCGACGACTCACTTTGTGCCGGGGCTTCTTCAGGAGCAGCGGAGCTCCGGCCTCCACGACGTCGGCGCTCGCCCTCTTCCGGGCCGACGGGCGGCGAGGCCTCGGCCTCGCGGGAACGTCCTTCCGGTTCGCGTCCCCCACGGGGCCCGCGGAGGAGCCAGCGTCCAGGGACACGCACACCTGGGGCGGCAGGGCATCGCCTCCGATTATCACCCACGATTCAATCGCCTCCGCTTATCGCGGTCCACCGTAGATCGGCACCCACCGCACAAACCATGGCCAGTCGACGCGGATGGTTCCTGATGGTGCACAAATGGAAAATTAAAAAAACTCTCCAGCAACGGTGGTGCGACCGTGGTCGTCCAGGACAAACCGTACAACGCGTAACGAGGCGACAATGCCCAAAGATGCGCACATACAGAGGAGACATCACGGCGATTACACTCCGCTGCTGCTCCGGTTATCTGGCTTGACCACATGCATGTGAAATTGTAGTTGTTGCTCTGCAACTACATTGGCCGTAGGAAACAAGAAGCACCTCCGATTAATTAACACCTCCCAGCACCTTTTGATTAGTACGGCTGGCTATGCACGGTAAGAAAAAAAATCAAGATGCATACATACATTGGCATCACCAACATCAGCAACATCACCAACAACACGACATGATGAAACTCAACACCGTTACCACATCGCGGTGACCCGGGGCCCAGCGGTCAGGTGATCGTCACTTGTTACAGTGGTTCGTGGTGAGTGATGGCGTGAGTGAATGATGGAATGATCGAGTGATGGAACAGTCGAGTGAATGAACGGTCGGGTGACGGAACGGTCCCGTAAAGGAACGGTCCAGTGAAGGAACATCGCCTTCAACGCCGTGGCGACCGCCAAACCGCATCCCACCGTCGCAACGACCAATCTACGCCACGACCAGAGTAGCCGCGCCATCTTCCCCGGCAATCGCTGACGTCACCACCCACCGCTGTTACGTCATCGCCAACATCGGCAGCGCTTACGCAAATGTGACATCGACGGAATGGCCTCCCCCATCACCACCAACACCACGGTCGTAACTGTCGCTTGGTGGGAGGTCACCGACTCTCCTATTCTGCCCCCATTGTCTGGCACTCCCTTCCCCCAGCCGTCAGTGCTGTTGACCCCCTGCCGCCCCCATCCCACCATCCACCGTTCAAGTCCAGGCTCAAACCTTCCCCTCTGCCTGCTTGCCTGCCTCCCTCGCTCGCTCAACAAAATAAATACGCCACATACAGACGTTACGTACATCCACAGCGTGGTATATAATGCAATTGCTTTCTCAACACCACCACCGCATGGTCCCTTAACTCATTATATACTGATTGATGTGGTTTTTTTTGTTCACGTTGCGATGCATGATCATTTGATTTCTTGACACATATATCATACGTATATATTTTACAAAATGTAATTCACTGTCGTATACTCTTTGGTTCTTTCGGTAAAGTCACGTAGGTATACAATAAAATAGTAATTATTTGTGCAGGCACCTCGGTAATCTGGCAGGATGGCTGCTCCGGGCTTGGCTCGGCAGCACTGCTGGCGTTTGCCATAGACGCCCGTGCCGGAGACAGGCTGGGTCCTGGGTCCTTCTCGTGAATCTTCAGGTGCCTGGGGGCGTGAACACAGCCTGAGTGAGCGACTCCTGTCACGTGGTCCCCTTCATTCACTTGCTCGCTCACTCGCTCGATCGTTCACTGGCTCGATCGTTCATTCACCCACTCACTCGCTCAATCGTTCATTCACTCACTTACTTGCTCGATCGTTCACTCGCTCATGAGTGAACTCACTCGATCATTCAATCGCTCAATCGCTCATTCCTTCGCTCCATCGGTCATTCACTTGCGCCACTCACCCAAGCACCCACTCAACCATTCCAACACCCACTCTTGCTCCCTCACTCATTCACTCTCACTAACTCAACTGTTCACCTACTCGCTTGATCGATGAATCTCTCACTCGTATACTCTCACTCAATCGCTCAAACGCTCACTTGTTCATTCTCTCACTCACCATCTCATTTCACTCGCTTGCTAGATCCTTCGCTCACATGCCCGCTAGCACGCTCACCTAATCCGGCATTCGCTCAAGCAAACTCAGCCACAAGCGCGCACACAATGACACGCAGACAAACACGCAGCCAACTACTCGCCCATCCACGCACGCACACCCAGCCACGCGCAGTAAATAAAACACACGCACACATCCGCACACACACAAAGATCCCTCCACCCGCATAGCCTTTAAGAGTCTGTTGGGGCAAGTCCTTTGAGCAAAGCACCTATTACACAAAAAAAGACAAAGATCCCCCTTATAGCCTTAACAGATTTTTTGGGGCAAGTGCTGTTCGCGAGTAGCCCCTATGAAGGCCGGCGTGGCACACGAAGGGGGTGGGTGGCCAGCACCACGCCCTGCCGCCTTTGTCTCCCCAGTGGCGATGTTAACGCACCGCACCAGGTACTCATTTGAGGCCGAGTCGACCGAGGGGAGGCCCAGAGCCGGTACAGATAATCGTCGCCGGTGTTGGCCGTGAGCGGGAATCGGAACTCGGGACGCCGGGTTACGTGGCACAACGCGCTAACCGCTGCACCGCCGCTCCCCGCAGTAGCACACACGTGCACACACGCGCGCACACACGCGGTACCTCTGCATGTTTCCGCTGGTAGTGAACGCCTGCTGGCAAACGGGGCAGCGGTGCGGCCTCTCCCCGGAGTGCACAAGCATGTGCCGATCGAGCGAGCTCGCGGAACTCAGGAACTTGCCGCAGATCCCGCACGCATTCCCACTGGGCGTGCTCACCCCGCCATTGTGCTGCACTCGCACAGACAGAGGGGGGGGAGAGAGAGAGTGATACATACCGATACATACACATACGCAATCAAGACAAAGATCCCCTCCCGCATAGCCTTAACGGACTGTTGGGGCAAGTTCTGTTTGCGAGAAGCAACTGTGAAGGCCTCAACGCCTACACGAGAGGGTGGGTGGCCAGCACCACGCCCGGCCGCCTTTGTCTCCCTAGTGGCGATGTTTTTACGCACCGCACCGGGTACTCGTTTGAGGCTGAGTCGACCCTGGGGAAGCCCAGGACCTGTTTAAATAATCGTGACTGGTGTTGGTCGTGACGCGGGAATCGAAATCTGGTCGTGTAATCACATGCGCACACACACGCATTCCCGCTGGGAGTGGTCACCCAGCCATTGTGCTGTTCAGACACAGACAGAGAAAGATACATACAAAGACAAAGATCCCCCGTATAGCCTTCACAGACTGTTGGGGCAACTGCTGTTAGCGAGCACCTATGAAGGCCGGCACGGCGCACCAGAGGGGTGGGTGGGTGGCCAGCACCACGCCTCGCCACCTTTGTCTCCCCAGTGCTGATATTTACACACGGCAGCAGGTAGCCATTTAAGGCCGAGTTGACCTAGGGGAGGGCCCACGACTGGTTCGAAATATCCGCTGTCACTGTTGTGGGGTCGCGTCCAAGGCGCAGAGTGTGCCAACCACTGCGCTCCCGCTCCCCACATGCATGTGCATACACACGTAACATTCAGACGCACACAGACGGACACACAAAGACATAGACGAAGACGCACAGCACACACGCACGCTCAGGCCTCCTTCAGCCTTGTTGCGACAAAAGCGCAAGCAAAAAAAAAGAGGCGGGCGAAAGTTTGCGAGCGCCAATTTCAAAGGCCTGGGCCAAGAGCGCATCATGGCGGCCGGGGAGTCGAACTCGGGGGGGGGGGGGGGGGGGGGGGTGAGGGTTCGTAGCGCGGTGCGCAAAGAGGCGAGCGACGGGACTCTCCCTGGGACAGCCGTGAGGGCCGAGCGAGCGAGTGAGCGAGTGAGCGAGTGAGCGAGTGAGCCGTCTGCAGTATCGGGGGTTTGCGTGTGGGGCTAACTTGGCGGATGTGAGAGGTGAGGTCACGGGCCGAGTCGCAGATTTCCTCGCACAGGGGGCAGCTGTGAGACAGGAGGAATCCGTCCTGTATGCGCACACACGTGTATACGCACGCACGTGCGTGCACACGCACGCCCGCACGAGACGCGTGCACACACAGAGGCACAAGTGTTCGCACAGAGACACACGAGCGTACGTTAGGTACATGTACGCAGACACACGTGCGCACACGCGCGCAGACACACGTACACACTTACACAGGTGTAAGCTAGGTGTGTGTGTGTGTGTGTACACATAGGTGTGAGTGTGTACTTTGTTGTCTACGCAGACAGGCGTGTATGTGTAAGCTGGGCCATACGTGCGCACACAGATGTACGTGAGGTACGTGTTTAAACATACGCATGCGTGCACTCGCACGTGCATTATGCATGCGTATTCAAGTGCATACAAACTTACTTGCGCACGGACACGGACCCAAACAAAGGCAAAGATCCCCCGTATAGCCTCAACGGACACACGCAAACACACGGCAACAGCGGTAACCCCACGTCACTCGTGCCAGGCTAGGTGCACAACAACAACAACACACACACACACACACCTGTAGCCTCTCCTCACTGGATGTCGACGCTGCCTCCTCGTGACCGTCCGACGGTGATTGGCTGCCGAGCGTCAGCTGACTTGCAGCTGTGACGTCAGTGACCCGCAGCATGGACCCACTGTTGGCCAGGGGAGTCCAGGCTTGGGAACGTTAGGGGAGGGGCGGGGCCGTGCGCTGGTGGGGGGGGGGGGGGGGTGAGGCCGTGGGTTGGGGTCACTCGCTTTGGCTCCTGTCGAGAGACGAAAATGAGAACGGGCGACGATGTTGATGAGGTGCGCCCTGACGCGTCGCGTCGGTTCACGCCGACGCTTGAAGTTTGTCGCACGCGCTGGATCACCAACCCCCCCCCCCCCCCCCCCCCCCCCCCCCCCCCCCCCCCCGTTGCAAAGCCATGGGGTGTGTGGCGTGCAGCATTGCAACCACACACCCGGTGTTCAAGATTATCACAATAGCCATCATGACCATAACCACCATCAACATCATCATCATCACAACATCATCATGAACAACACCATTACAATCACCACCACTAACATCCTCATCACAGTGAAAGCGACGAAGATGGCACCGCCGCTGCTGCTATTGCTGACGATCACAATATCGCTCGGGGGTGAGGGGGGGTGGAGCGATGCTTCATGCGACGCAGGGATTCACGAGTGAGCGATCGTGGCTGTGCGTGGCGTCAGCCACGATGACAATTGCGAAGGTTGAGACAATCATAGTGACAACGATGAGAATTGTGACGACGACGAGGATGAGCGACGACGGTGACGATGATGACGATGACATCTGCCGCGTGCGGGCGTGTGCAGGAAGCGGCTCTGTTGTGCCGGAGCGGCTCTTGGAGCCGCGCTCACAAAACTGGTTTTCGCACGGGCGCGGGAGCGAGCGAGCACGGGCGCGAGAGCGAGCGAGCGAGCGAGCGGGGCGGGGGGGCGCCCAGCATCTCAAGGTCACGCCGCCGAGGAGGGCACGGCGCGGTTGCACAACAGGAACGCGAGATTGTGTGTGCACGTGTGTGCACGTGTGTGCGCGTGTGTGGGAGCGGCAGCGTGGTGGTTAGCGCGCTGCGCTTCCAACCCCGAGTTTGATTCTGGTTCACGGCCAACGCCGCTGGCGAGCATCCGAATCGGTCGTGGGCCTCTCGTAGGTCGGCTCAGCCTGAAATTAGTAACTGGTGTGGTGTGTAAACATCGCCACTGGGGAGACAAAGACGGCCGCTCACCCACCCCCTCGTGTGCTCAAACAGCACTTGCCCCAAGTGTGTTTCAGGCTATACGGGGGATCTTTATCTTTGTGTGCACACGATACTCGACGCAAGGACACGGATCCCCCACCCTCCTCCTCCTCCCACATCGCCGCCATCGTCGCGCAGTTTTACAGACCCCCCGGAGGAAGAGGAGGGGGAGGGGGCTAACGTGCGGTTAGCGAGCGCCTATTAAGGCCCACGCGGTGCACCAGTGGCAGACACACGGACACACAGACACACGCCTGCTAACACGTATAAAGATTTCACCCCCCGCCTCACTCCCCCCGTATGGCTCTGCAAAGACAGCTGGGGCAAGTGCTATTCGCGAGTGGCACACGAGGGGGTGGGTGGCCAGCACCACGCCCGGCCGCCTTTATCTCCCCAGTGGCAATGTTTACGCGCCGGGAATCAAACTCGGGACGCCGGGTTCGTAGTGCAGCGCGCTAACCGCTGCACCGCCGCTCCCCCACAAGCAGCACAGACACACACGCAAGACAAAGACCCCCCCCCACCATATAGCCTCCGCAGACTTCTGGGGCAAGGGCAGTTAGCGAGCGCCTATTCAGGCTGGCAGGGCACGGCGAGCGCGAGGGCACGGGGTGGCCCAGCACGTCCGCTCAGTGCCGATGTTTACAGCAAGAGTGAAGTTGCTCATTTAAGGTCGAGTTGACCTAGAGGAGTGGTCCCCCGGGTATCACTCGCCACCGATGTCAGATATCGCTGGTGTGCACGCAACACAAAGATCCGCGCGCGCACGCGCACGCACACACGCAGACATTCCAACGTGCACTAGAACGAACACATCAACACACAATAGATAAAGATCCTGTTTTACTCACCGAGTATGGAAACAACCGCTGTTTGCGAGCGCCTATTATTCCGCCTGGCGCAGCGCGCGAGTTCGTGAATGGCAATCGTGGCTAGCAGCGAAGGCAAGCGTCCGAAACCCGGCTCTCGCAGTCGGCACCGCGCCACCGTTGACATTTTAGGCCGAATCAACCCGGACGAGGAGGCCCCCCGCACACAAACGTGGCGAGGTATCGAGACGCCCATCCCCCCCCCCCCACCCCCCTTTGCCCCCCCCCCCCCCCGCCCGGACGTCGGAGTGAACGCAACGCAAGGCGCAAAAAAATTCGCCGGGGGGAAAGCGCAGCGGCGAATTCGCCAGGCTCGGTGCACGCCGAGGTCACGTGAAGTGTTGAAGGGTGGCTGGCACGAGGTCGCGGGACAATGGATCTTAGACAAAGAAACGAAGATTCCCCCCCCCCCGCCCCCCCACTGTATAGCCTTCGACAGAGAGTGCTGTTCGCGAGCAGCACCCACGAAGTCCGGCATTGCACACGAGGCGGTGGTGGGTGAGCAAGCACCACCAACACCCGGGCTGCTCTTGTTTTGGCCTCGTGGCGACGTTTAACACGCCCCGCGCCGCGAACTCGTCTGAGGCCCAGTCGACCTTGGGGAAGGCCCAGGACGGGGTTCAGATGATCGTCACCGGTGTTGGCGATGGTCGTGACTTTGGTCACCGGGTTCGTAAGGCGTGTGGGCGCGCTAAGCGCTGGACTACCGCCGTACTGCCCACACTCACGCGCAAGCTTCGCTTTCAAACTTAATCTCAAACGTTCTTCCTGTCCAATATGCATCATTTATCATAATATTCGGCGATACATCTAATTCTGCCGAATATTGCAGAGGCATGAACCGATTCGCTGATTAGGATCGTTTGGCTGTGCCCTCACAACAATAACAACAATAACAACAACCGCCATTCGCCACTAAGTGGCGGTGACGTCACCACGACGCTTGTGCCAGGCTATGTGCACGTTGAGGCCACGTGAAGTGTCGAACGCCCGCGGGCAGGAGGTCACGGGACAGACCCAGGTGCCACCGGTCGACTGGCTGAGATGACTGGCTGATGCACCGCCTGTGCCCCCTACTGTGCCAACTTGCTGTGCTTTAGCCACCCGGCTCTCCGCTCGTTGTTGTGAGCGTCGCTCCTCCGCCCTCCGTTGTTGTTGGAGAGCGACTGCCTCCAGCTGCCCAGCAACGTCATTCACGAGCTTCCTCCACAGAGGCCGATCTTGACACCGCTGGTACCGGTCATCGGCAAGTCTACTCAGTTCCACATCCTCCCGTACCGCATCAGCTCCATCTCTTCTCTAGCCCGTGCCGTGCCTGCTTAGCCCCCTCTATCTGGCCGAACAAAAGCTGTTTAGGAATGCGGTGGCTGGGCATGCGGGCTACATGACCCAGCCAACGCAGCCTTGCCTGCCGGAGGAGCTCACCTTTGTCCAGATATTTCAAGGATTTGTGAGCTCCTCACACAATCCAGCCTGTAAGTTAAACCCAAGATGGATCGTAGGCATGCCAACCTGAATGTTTCTAACCGGCAAAGATGTTCCATTAGGGGGGTCCACGTTTCACAAGCGTAGAGAAGGGAGGGAATGACCGTGGCCGAGCAGACCTGAAGCTTCGTGCGGAGCGACAGACCTGGTAGCTTCCACACAGCGTTACGCAACCGATGAAAAGATATTGCCGCTCGACTGATTCGGAGTGAGACCTCTGCTGTTAAACTGGAGCCGGTCATAAGCACACTGCCCAGGTATGGGAAACTCTCCACTCTCTCCACAACTGCCCCATCACCAATTGGGAGTTGTGGGGGTGGAGTGTCCGATGGTACAAAATACCCAGGCAGGTGCTTAGTTTTGTGGGGCTGATGGTAAGGCCCCACCTCTTAGTGGCAAGCTCCAGGTTCAGCAGCAGCGCATCCAACTCCTCCTCCGAGTGAGCAGCAATTACCAGATCATCGGCATACATCCCTTGACCGCACGCGGGCATCGATCAGCACACACACACATGTGCAACCATGCACAAACGTGCGCACGCATACACACACACACGCACGCACACACACGCGGCGGGATGAAGGGCGTCCACCCACGCCCTTGCCATCTCTCACGGCCCTGCGCTGGAACAATGTACGTATGTACGTTGAACTTATTTCGCACCGTACCTAGCCAACCGTGCTAAACGGAGTAGCGGGGCAAGGAAAACAAACTAAACACAAAAAGCGGTTCTAAAAAAAAATGTTTTCAATCGAGATTTAAAAGTGCATAGCTCTAGTGGCTTCTTAATATTTGAAGGAAGAGCGTTCCAGACGGCCGCAGAAACGCATCTGAAAGTGCGCGACGTGGCGACCGTCTTTGTTCGATGGCGAGCCAGAAGCCGTTGCTGCGAGTTCGCTGTGATGATGGTTCATTATTGCTCCTTGACGGGATCAAGTTATTTTGGTTCATTTGTGGCGAGCACTTGTGTGTGACGAGCGCGACCGACCCACCCATAGCACCCGTGCGCACCGTCCAATTTCATCACCCCATCTCCGCCGTAGGGCGGTTGTCACCGGGGGCGCCACTTAAAATGCCCTCGTATTCATTTACGGATGGATCATTTGGCGATGCCGCTGCCGCGTTGGCAAAAGGTGCACAGCCAAAGTTTAACAACAACTCAACGCGTTTGTCAAAAACAACTCTCCGCGTGTGGGTCCTTAAAAGGAAACAAAAATATCTATTACAAAAGCCCGGCGTTCCGTTTGTCCATCAACTAAATGACAGGAGAGCCTTCAGAAGGCCTGAATCACAGAGTTATAGAAAGTGGATCAACCCGCCCAGATATGGTGAGGCATATATGCCTACACGCCCTACATACAATAGAGTTCAGGTTTCTTTCGTAAGCAGGAGCTAAATTAAGACAGCCGTAGGCCACAGAAATTCAAGTAAATATAATAGGCAACATTGCGGGCATCAGGAAACAGTTTATGATTTAGGCTCCAATGGTATAACAAGTCCAGCTTCCAACCATCCTCCACTCCGCCTCTCCGCCCCCTCTGCGTGTGCCATGAAGAAGGGCTGTTACCCACAAATGTGTTGAATTAATTTTAGTTTCCCCCCC